AAGGCTTTATTCTGGGCTTCTTGATACAGAAATATTTGAAGCTATAGTATATGAAGTTTTATCCAAATATTTCAAGGAAAAAGACAGACACTATGGTAACTACTATTAAGTCGGGTTATTTGGTGGTGAAGCACTAGGTTGCTGAAACAGTGATGCTTTGATCTGTATTGTTATATTGTTATGTCCTGTTTTATCTCAATCTCTCCCTTATTCTTTAAAAAATTTTTTTAGTTAGTTCTTATGTTTGTTTTAATTAAGGGGAAAAATTTAAAAAATTAGCAGGATATATAATAGTAACTTTTTTTGATTTCCTATTAACTTTTTTTGAAGTCCTGTAATACTCCCACGATTTTGTTTTGACTGATTAGACTCTGTTCCATTCTGTATGATAGTATCAAGTTTGAGGGTATAGGCAACTACTTTGAAGGCAATAAGATTCACTAAGATGCCCATTCTGGTTTGACTATTGTCTCCTTTGGAAATCCTGTAATGTTTACAATGCCTAAATTTTATTGGTCTTGTTCTCTACTGTTTTGTTCAACTTTATAATATCTAATGAGATAGACAATTCTTTTTAAGGAAACAAGAGACATCGTTGATAACCACTGTTGATAACCTTGTACTCTGTTTTACATCATGTGCTGTGTCTATCCTTGGTTTTGACTGACAGCTTTGTTTTGCCATATTTGACTTTATTCTCTCCCCCCCAAAAAAGTAATAAGAACTAAGAAATAATAAAATCCAAAATGTGTAAATTTTGTTGTAAAAAAGAGGGGGGGGGAAGAGCTCTAACGGATATAACAGCAAGTGTGTTTAGGGGTGTTAAATAGCTGACTATATTAATGTTTTTGGATCATTGAACACAGCTGTTTGCAGTCTCCCTGTTTGAATGTCCACTTTGTATTCTTTGAAACTGTGATTTGAGCAACTATTTCTAAGATGATAATATGTAATCTATTAACAGGTGATTTCTTACTTTTTTTTTTTTGTTTGTAGTTCTGTACTACGTGTACCCTTACACCGCTTTGTTTTGTTTTGTGTTTTTCTCTTTTTCCTTTTAATTAAAATTAAAAAAAAAAAAGAACCTGGTGTAGTCACCAGCATTCTGGAACACAGTGCTCTGTGGCTTTCTCCTCAAAGCAATCTTTCACTCTTGCTATTTTGAGACTGCTAAGGGTGGAGATTTGCTGCTTCCTGTGATGTCCACACGGTATCTTTTCTACCATCCCTACCCTTTGCAACTATCAGTACCTCCTCTGCTCTAACTTTACCAGAACTTCTTTTATGGGCAAACTCACATTTTAAATCATCCTGCTGGGCTCTTTGCTTTTGATTCGCAATATAAATTGCTAGGTATTAAGTGATATAGGCAGATTTTGACCCAGGAAATCTGGCAGCAGAGACTAAGCTCTTAATCACTACCTGCCTATCACTTCCTACCCTGTTTGTGATAGGAATGAAAAGCTTACCTTTACAAAAGGGACTCACAGATGTGGAGTTTGAGGTGAGGCACAAAGTTGGTGCTTTTCACAAAAAATGTCACTGTGCCTGTAGAAGATGGCAGGTTGCTGACATTGTGAAGATAGTGAGTGGGTGACCTGTACTGCTAGATGAGAAATGACTGCAAGTCTTTCCCTGGCTGTCACCAGGTTAATGGAATAGATTTCTCCACATAATAAAAGTACGGCTACATATAAAAAGGGCTCCTGGACACTGTCTGCCTGGCACTGACTTCACAGAGTGTAGGTGTGATATTGTTATAAGATTAGTTTCCTGTTGTGAATCTGCAGTTTTAGGTATTTGCATTTTTCTCTCTAGTTTAAAAAAAACCTATAAAACAGGAGGCACTCTGAGAAATCTCTGTGCATTTCTCTAGGCATTAACATTACTTATAAACTATACTGATGAGAAAGTGTTGGTGACAGTGATGATGTTAACACCCGAGAGAATAAGGACATATGCTACCTCCAGGCATGGCACAAGTCCCAGCAGCAGTGCCACAATCAGTCAGCACCACAGCCCACATGGAACACCAACAGAAAACATAGGTTTCTTTTTTTATTTCGGCTGATGCTGTGTCCAGTATTGAATGGTTACTGTGCCTGTTCTCTTCAGTGTTTATTTCTCCTGGGCTTATTTTCTCATGTTGGGGAGCTGGAGATTTTTTTTTATTTCTATCTCTTGTCATGTTTCTGGTTTCTTCCAGACTGGAGTGTTCTGGGAGTCTCTGGCCCTCTCTGTATTGCTTAGGGCCTTTCAGAAGTGTGTTGACTTGAGTTTTTGCTGTCCTCCTCAATTTGCTGTTATCTGGGGTAGGCAGGGATGCAGGGACAGTGCAGACTAGCCTCCAGCCTCGTGCCAGTAAATCTGCAAATTAGGCTGTACTTTGTGGATGTCACAGAGTCGTGACTATTTTGTATCTGCTTATTGGGTTCCAACCAGAGGCTTGGTTCAGCCCCAGCAGATCCTGCCAGTTCTCTCTGTGCCAGAAGCAGCTGGCTAATGTCACCATGGCACAGGGCTCTGCCCAAATCCCAGCTGTCCTCTTCCAGACCTCTCTGTGCCAGGAGCGACTATCTAATGTCACTGCGGCTGCGGGTTTGCCCAATTCCAAGATGTCCTCCTCTAGTTCTATGTCGCTGATGCGGATAAAGCACCAGGCTCTGCCCACTTTCAAGATGTCCTCCACCAGACTTCTCTATGCCAGGGGTGACTGTCTGATGTCACTGAGCTCCAAGCTCTGCCCAACTCCAAGATGTCTTCCACCAGACTCTCCGTGTTATTGATGTAGCTGTGGTGGTGGGCTCTGCCCAGTTCCAAGATGTCTTCCAGCCAGCCACAGCAGCTGCGGGACCCAGTCCCCACTACTCACCAGGACTCAGTGCAGGTCTTCCTCTTGAGTCTACTGCACACTACGCTGCTTGCCTTCACTGCGTTCCCAACACAGCACAGACTGGTCAGAAAACTGCGTGGTGCCGGCTTTGGAACTCCGGAGCTTCTCACAATCTCCTCCGGCGCAGCCGGGCAGCCCTGGCTGCTTCGCGGGGTCCTGGGTCTCAATTTCCAGCAGTCACCAAAAGCCAATACAGCTTTTCTTCTTGGATCCACTGGTCAGTGTGCTGCATTAAAGATGCGGGATTTGCAGACTCCCGTTATCAGCCATTGCAGTCTCACCTTAAATCCTCCAGCCGTGCTGTCTTGGTTAATAAGAATCATTATCCATTTGTCTGGCCCTCTCCATGTTGTCCTATTCTAGCATCTAACATGATTTCTCCTGAGGGTCTCTCTGCCCAATCCCCTAGCAAGTCGCCATTTTTAAAAAATATCTGTTCAGAAATTCTTTTGCATTGTTCTGTACAATGCACAGTTCACCAGATGTTGGGGAAGCCTTCCTCCACTGAGGAACATCATTACACATATTGAATTCTCAGGACCTTTGCCACCACCTGATTGGACAGTTCATATAGTCCGCTTCTTCCTCACTGAGTGACTCCTGCTCTCCTGCCCTCCTTCTGAGTCAAGAATAAACAGGAAAAGGAACCCCACTCATTCCGTGGATAGAGGGGCTCCTAGGTTCTCTGCTAATTGGGCCACAGGACATCAAAAACCACCAACTGAGATCTAGTAAGTATTTTGCTCCCAGTTTTGTGCTCAGAACAGGTAAAAAATACCTAGACACTTAATCTTACCCTCTTTAAGACAAAAAACAAGTGCGTAGGACTGATAACCATATTACTGAGTTTTTGCTGGATCATTGAGCAGAACTGTTGGCAGTGTCACTATTTGAATGTCATTTTACATACTTTAATTTTGTAACCTGAACAGCTATTTCTAAGACGACAATATATAAGTTATCAACTAGTGATTTCTTACCATTTATTTTTCTGTAATTCTGTATTACTTCTACCCTTTTTTATCTCCATGTATTTTTTTTTTGTTTCTTTCACTTTAAATAAAACAAAAACAAAAACAAAAACAAAAACAAAAACAAAGAAAACCACATAGGTTTCTTAGTCATGTCAGAGTTTTTGGGTGATAAAATAAGTAGAAGAGCTCTTGGAGAATTCTAATCCATAAATGACTCTCTTGGCTACTTTTCTCTCATTGCTGAGACAAAATATTTGATGCCTAAAATGAAGGAAGGAAAGGTTTATGTTTTCAAAGTACCAGAAAACCAGCCAGTCAAAAGGGGATTGCAGTCTGGTGTCAGCGTGCTAAAGGAAGATTGCTTGGTCCTGGAAATTAGACCAACAGTTATGACCATCAACATTCTCCAGCCATAGCTCTACTGAGAGGATTATACTAGCAGTGACACTGACTTAAAACATGGTGAAAGTTACATAACTCCACAGGGGTTGCAAAACTAGGTGTGGGCAGTTTACTTACCTCAATACATAGATAAATAAAATATGGCCCTCTGAAAACATTCTGCATTAATAAGATAAATTTTATTACACAAAATGAACAAGTATTGTAACCCAGCTAAGTATATCATGGCACATATTACAGAGTGTTGTAATTGCCTCTACATTTCTGTCTCATTTGAACCTGAGACCTTTGAAGGGTGAGCCAGGTTGTGCCCATCTTTGTACTTAAATTTAACAAAAGATACCTTATAAATGAATCAACGCATCTCCACTGCTCAGCTTTTCCATTACTAGGATGAAATACCCAACATACTCAATTTAAAGAGGAAAAGATTTATTTTGTTTCAGTTTCAGAGGTTCCAGGGCCTGGTCAACTGGCTTCAAGGCAGAAATGGTGCAAGGGCCTGGCAAAGAAAACCTGCTAATGCTAATCCATCAGCAGACAGGAAGCAGAGGAAGCAGGAGCCAGGGAGACAGACACTTCCAAAGACATGCCTCAGTGTGTGACTCTTCTGGTGGCCCACACTCCTCACAGTGCAAGTGTCTACAAACTCATACGTGTGGTAATTCACTCCTGAGCACAGCAATGCCCAGATCCAAGCACTTTCAGAAAGATCCAACCACAGATCAAAACAGACTCTATCATGAATTTATTTGGCATTTTAAATTGCAAATTGGTGGCTTTTACATTTATTTAAGTGTATTTACTCAAATACTTCAAATATCCTTCAAATATTTAGTCAGTATTTACTGTATCAGGTGCTAGTTTTAAACAAAACAGGTAAAGTTCTCCCTTATAAATTTTATTTGCTATTAGATGGAGATATGAATAATGAGACTAAACAGGCAAATCATATATAATTAATATGAAGAAGAAAATCAGGTATAAGTTTGGGTGCTACGGGTTAGGGTCTATCCCCTCCACATTCAAGGGCCCCAACAAGAAGTCTAGAGTGGCTTCAGCAGAGATAGCTGGGTTGCTTGGTGGGGAGGGCAGGGAAGGGCTTAAGGAGTGAAGTAACAGACAGTGGGAATGGCTCTCAGGTCCCGCAGGGAACCTCAGGCAGCTGTTCTCGGCTATTACTCCGAGAAAGGATGCCACTGCTTGTCTGGCGGAGTATGTTTTAAAAATGGTTCTAAACGACATTTTAAAGGATCTCTCCTTTAAAGAGAGTAAAAGTTGCTCTACTGCTTTCCCCTGAGAAGTTTTAAAGGGAATTCCCACTCACTAGGTTATGGAAGGTGCAAGAATTCATATTAAGGGGCAGAGGTGACTGGAAGCACTGATTCGACATGTAAAGTTTACTGTGCTTATTAAACAGGAGAAAAGGGGGCCTGGAGGTTTAGCTCAGCGGCATAAGCACCTGCCTTGCAAGCAGGCAGTCGTGAGTTCGATCCCTGGTACCGATAAAAAGGAAAAAGACAAAAAAAACCAAAAAAAACAAAAAAAAGAGGCCATGCTCCAGGCCAATGGCATGGAGCAATGGAAGCATTTGTTCACGTGTCTAAACAGGAGAAACGGAAAAGAAGGGGAAAAAAGAACCAATAACACTAAAATTCTACTTTTATCATTGCTCAAAGTTTGAAACCAACGAGTAATTTCTAAATCCATTTCCCAGCTACTCTGGGGGCACCGTCATGAACTCACACAAATGCAAGAAGGTATTTCTCCACAGATACACAAACGACCAACAAGAATAACAAAACATGGTAAACATCGCAGTCACTCAGAAAAGGCAGTAAACCCAGTCCCTTCAAGGGCATGAGTGCACACCACAACTTTCTTCTCAGAGCTTGTTGCTATAGCATCAGAGTGAGAAGAGGCGGTTCACACAGAAGCACATTAGCTGGAGATGCCTAAAGCGGTCTGCAAGCTCTGATCTCAGGTGGAAGAGGAAGCAGGAAGGGACGAGGAAGGGATGTATAAGAATTAAGATGTGTTAGGCATATGCACCAACTCCTCATGATGAACACAATCACTATGCACTACAAACATGTACCAATAAAAACCGAAATTAGAAAGATGCAGAGCTTTCAGTTATCATTTGGAAAGATTAGGAAACATGGATCCGGACTGCAAGCTAAATGTGTGAAATAGCTTGTTTTTCAACTTCCCAGTGTTTATCTGCATGCTTTCTTCCCAGGAATTTTAGTGCCAGGAGCATATTAAGATCCAATAAACAGAGCAGAAGTTGCCAAGTCTTGTCTGAACAGCAGAGCTCCCTGCATTGACGACACCACTCCTGATGACAGAGCCTGTCTATCTTGGCTGGCCTGCCTGTACGACAACATGGGAAGTAACATGAGCAAGACATCTTCAGACCAGCCTTGTTTAGCTATTGGCCCTCACATCTCCCTTGATCTTTGTGCCAGGCAGGGCAAGAATGCTGAGACACACATGAAGACTGAACTGGGAAGCAGGGTGAAGAGAGGTCCCTGGGGCACCTGGGTGGGGCAGGGGCATGAGATCAACCTCCCTGCTGCTTGCCACCTGTGGACAGCAGCCAAATGCCAGTGAGCAAACACAAGCTGTGCTCCTGGACACCTGACACTCCTGGACAAACTCAAGTCGCCCAGAGACTCTGGCTACACCTGCCACCGCAGGCGGCAGCCTGCATGGCCTCCTCCCTCAGGACAGTACGGCTCCGGGCTCCGAGCTCCACTGCTTGTAAATGGCTTGTACCTGGAAGAGTCTGTTTCTACAAGGACTGGGAATTTCTTTTTTTTTTTTTTTTTTGTCTTTTTCATTTTTATCGGTACCGGGGATCGAACTCACGACCGCCTGGTTGCAAGGCAGGCGCTTATGCCGCTGAGCTAAACCTCCAGCCCCCAAGGACTGGGAATTTCAATGTGCATGTTTTAACTTCCCTAAAGACATCATTTCAAAACAGTAGTTAAAGATTAAATAGCTCAGTGGCACAAGCACTTGCTTGTCAAATGCCAGGGTCTGAGTTTGATTTCCAGTAATCATCCCCCACAAACAATACAAAAAAAAAATGGAGATAAATTTAAGCGATGAGTCATTTTTTTGGTAGAGGCCATATGTATTGATATCTAGAAATTATACTGCACTGTGTGCTTGACAGATCCTTAATATCAGTATGGATCCCCAACAGTGGCTACGACCTGCAGCACATGTCTCTCCTTCTGGAACTTGGGACACCCTCAGTTCTTGGTATGCTGGTAAGAACTGGGCATCTGAGTAGCCAGGAAGCCACGCGTCTCTGTGTGCCCTGCCCCCATCTCAGCACGGGGCTTCGGAGCCTGGATGACACCAGCAACACTCTGTCATGGTTCTGCAGAAGTGGGAGCGGGAAGCTTTTCTCAGTATTCAATGTGGAAAGGGTAGTCTTTGTGATTTTCAGTTCTGAAAAAAGGAAAAATAAATAGAAAACAAAGAATTATTATATTTTAAAACAAACATTAGAAAAATAGAGCCAGGTAATTGTAACTCCTTAGTATATAAATTATTCCTTGACTTCATTCAGTGGACCACCTTCAAATGGGAAAGAATTATGATAGGAAGTTATAATTAACCTGAAATGTATATTGTAAATGGCTTTCAGAAACCAATCATCTAATCTGAACAGTACAATGGACCCTTGAGATACAATCAGGGTGACATACGAACAACCTGGGTTACTACTGGAATTTTAGTTTTAACTTTTAACCAAAGTCTGGGTTATGCTGGCCACTTGTGCTCCCAGGTGGTCTGATATGGACTGAACCCATAGCAAGTTCTGGAAGGAACATTACCACATCCTCTCCTGTATGGAGTGAGTTGAGAAATGCAGAGCCAATGTCTCTGTAAGGACACCGAGATCTGGCTGTGTCTGGGAGAGAGAAGTCAAAGGCTGCACAGAGGTACTTGAGCCTTCGACTGACGGCCTGAGTTACAACACGCCCTTGGGAATGCAATGAACTCCAAAGTCAAGGATGCATGGTGTATTACTTCACATAAAAAGCAAGTAAAAGAGTCATGCGTACGTGGGGAATGTGACCAATCGGAGATTCTTTTCTAGACTGAAGATGTCATTCATATCTTGCTCTGTTAATTCAAAATCAAATACCTGGAATCAAAATAAAATATGAATAAGAAATTTAGTTGTTAGCTACAACATGTACTAAACTGGCAAAGGACATAAAGACAGAAAAGAAATTCTGCATTAGACACATGGACTTCTCCTGAATTACAGCAGTCCAGGGTCCCACAAGGCACTTTAGGTGATGATCTGACTCGTACTACCTTAGCTTGTCAATGCTGGACAGATGGAATATCTACTGCTTTTATTTTATGAGGCTAAAGAGCACACAATGATAGTTAAAAGACAGCAAAGACCTTTTCTTTTACTAATCCACCATCTCCCACAAAAGACAAACCACTCTTCCACATATTACACCAACTAGGAAGTCACTCAGTTCCTAAAACCTTGAGCTCTAGCAGCATCCACATCATAGAAACGTTTTTCCAAATAATCTCTTTTGTTCTTTTTAAAATAGTATCCTAACCCCTTCCTCTTGTTTGCCCCCTAATGTTCTCAAGAACAATGCTTCACTTCCACAATAATAGCATTTCATGAGCATCACCACCTAGGTGAGGGGCTGAATCTGAGAAGGAAGGGATTCTCAAGAGATTCTAATGTTCCCTGAGGGGGTCAGAGACTATGGAACCCCAGCCTATTTACAAGACAGAATTCTGAAGCCAGGAAAAATCACTTAAACAGGAATTTTGATGGGGGGTAGGGGTGGGCAGGCAGGATAGTAGACTGAACTAGAGAGAAAAGTCAACAGCTCTAGAAGAGTCCCTACAGCCAAGGCTGGAGCAGCTGTGGTATGTTACATTCACTGGGGTTCTGGGGTGAACAGCAGGCACTGGCCAGCACTTGCAGTGGCAGCCTCTACCCGAAGGACGAGCCCCTGGTATCCCTGGCCTCCTCCCTCTTTCCCCATCTTGGGCTGAAAGGAGAAAATGCTACATGTGAGGAAAGAGAACCTCCTTGAGATGCAAGAATCACTGTGAGGAAAGTTCACCAACATGACACAGAGGAACAGATCCTGGTTGTGTTACGGTCACAGTGCTCTGATGACTGCTCCCTTCTGCAGCTAACATATGAGCTAAAACGAACAGAACGGAAGAAAAGCACCCGCCTGGATGTTCTCTTGAATTCGGTGTGGGGTGACAGATTTAGGAATCACGATCACATTTCTCTGCATCTGAAATCGAATCAAAATCTACAAGTGAAATGAAAAAATAAGTCTGTGTTACATAAAGGAAAATCATATGAAGTCAAATCTAAGTCATTTTCCTAACAACCTGTAATAAAAATTCCCAAGTATCTTTCATGTTAAAGTCCTTTAAAGATCAGATTGGCACACTTTTTAGACAGATTTGTCAGTGAGTGTATCAGTGAGAAATGCCACTGGACCAAGGAGATGGTCAGAAGACCTGTCTGCACTTTAATTAGAATTCCTTACAATGTGTCCAATCTCACAAATAAACTGGACTTTAAAATAAAAAAGTGTAATAGAGGATTTTTCTGTTCTCTTCCACACTAACTGTCCATACAGCTGCTGGGCTACAGGGGATACCCAAGAGCCTGTCCTATACACTGATAGTTAAGGAGGCAGGGCGCACAGACTGAATGAAGGGGATATGGAAGCAACCAGCTTGGTACTTCACATGAGGAAATTCCAGTGCATTACTGCCTCATCTAGGGGGACTAACCCATGTTCAGGAACTGGTGAGCCTCAGGACCCCAAGAGGAGACGATATGAAGAGGATGCTCACAGCGTAGGACAGCCCTGTCTGGTACCTGTGCAGGAGTCTTGTCATGTTCCTCTGCAATCCTTCGGATCACAGGGTCGTCCAGCAAGTCAACCCCCTCACTAGAAAGACACACAAGAAGGTGATGAGTCACAGCATCTGATGAGGATGCTTCTTATTAAGGGTGAAACCTTTCTTTGAAACAAAAGGTTTATTATTTTATCATCAAAATAACATGCTCACTTTTGGAAATTTTAATGACGCACAAAGCCCATCAATGCAAATCTATCATCTGAAGATAAGCACTGTTAACATTTTGGTGAACAGAGCTTCACTGCATAACTTTTCATGCATTATTCTGCAGTTTTTTTAAAAAGAGGTGGCACCATCAGAGAATACAGGACAATGGTATTTCCAACAACAAAAGGGCTTGCAAACATCTCAGCTTTCTAAGGACATAATAGGACAGGGGAGAACATGGCGGACAGACAATAGCAACTACCGGAGGCTCTCTGAAAGGCTCGGCTCAGAGGCCAGGAATGATGCGGACTAAGGAGACACGAACCAGTAGAGATATGCTCTGCTGACTCAGGAACGAACTGGGCTGAGAGAAGCCAACTTGGAATACAGTCCTGGTGCTAAAATAGGAACAGAAAAGACTCAGTGTGGAGGCTGGACCCCTCGCCATTGGAAACCGCGATTTGGGTTTCCGCCGCTCGGCGGCTGGCTGCCTCCACCAGCGGCTCGGCAAGGAGAGACGCGCAGAAGCTCTGGGAACGGGAGTCTGCGAACGGAGTCGAAAACAGGACGGACAAGGAGGCGTACACGAAAACTGACTGGTGGCGAGGTGAGTGAGAGAAACTGACCCTCTACCACAGTTTGACTCCAGCGGAGGACTTTCTGGGCTCTGGCAGTCCTGTAAGAGCAGGGCGCGGTGGCAACTCCAGCCACACATTCCCCTCTCGGACGGGATTGGTGAAAAGTACCTGGCCTGCGTGACGCTGTGGGCGGACTCCCTAGGCTGGCCTAACCCAGATCCCAGAGCCTGACGGTGGCCCGGAGGAGCGACTGACTCCCGCATAGGCTGCCTCCTCCGCAACTCCCTGGTGCACAGCGGTGGGCGGGAACAACTAGCCAGCGCAATTTGATCAGGCTGTGGCTGACAGGCAGGGAAGCCGGGCCTCCTATGTAAGCTTGCATTTTATAAGGAACAGAAAATATGGGGAAAAGAAGCAACAAAAAAGGCTCCTCGGCCCCCAATCCTGAGAAACAGGCAATAGTGGACACCGCACCAATATACATTAAGCGCCATATAGAGAGCCTCATAGACCAATTCAGGAATGAAGTTATCAACGACCTGAAGCTAGAAGTATGCAGAATAGTTAGAGAAATGCTAAGCACCACCCAGGAAAAAACAGATGGTGGAATGGAAGAACAGAAAAAGAGGGAAGAATTGCTTGATGGAGAAAACAGAGAAAGCATTGAGTATGTGAAGCAGGTGCAAAGGGACTATCAAGAAATTAAGAAGTCTATCCAAGACTGGCATAACAGCTTGAAAGAAACTAAGGACAGACTATCTGAACTGGAGGGCAGACTTGAAATATGGGAGAATGAAATGAAAAACTTCTTAAAAATAACAAAGAAACAAACAGCAATAATACAAAGACAAGAAGATGATAAGAGGAGCCGTAACTTAAGGATTAAGAATATAAAAGAAGAAGTAGGGACACAAACAAGTGAACTACAAAAGCTACTCACAGAAATAATCCAGGAGAATTTTCCTAATTTAGCAAAAGGTAAAGATACTCAGATGTATGAGGCATACAGGACCCCAGCTACCTACAACCCTAACAGAGAAACACCCAGGCATATAATAATAAAAATTCCAGAAATTCAATACAAGAACAGAATATTAAAAGCTGTAAGAGACAAGAAACAGATCACTTACAAGGGAACACCCATCAGAATTACAGCAGATTTCTCTTCACAAACCATCAAATCACGAAGAGCATGGGGGGAAATAATTCAAGCTTTGAAAGATAATAATCTCCAGCCAAGATTGAGATATCCTGCACAACTGTCCCTGGAAATTGATGGAAAAACGAGGTGCTTCCAGGATAAAGAGGAACTGGGGTAATTTGCAACCACCAATTCAACCCTACAGAAAGTATTGCAGGATATTCTAAAAAAAGAAAAATACAAAGAACCCAGAAATAGTGGCGGGGAGGCCACAACGAATGGAGCAGAGAACAAAATGAAGAAGACAAACTGACAGCTACTGACAGAAAAAGAGCTCAACAGAAATGAGACAGAGAAGATTGGATGATAGGAACAGCTATTTTGGAGAAAATGACATCTTAATAGGTAATGCTGATTTAGTACCATCTTGTTTTGAAGTCTCATCTAGCTTTTGTTCTTCTGTCTCCAATGGTCTAAACAGGTTGTATCTTATTGGATTTTGTTATGTACGATAGTATAAGCAAAAACCTTTTAAAGACAAGGAGATGATACAGAGACCATTGTTCATTTTCTGTTAGTCGATTCTAAATACTCTATAATGCTGTCATTCTCTTAAATGATTTTACATTGTTTTGATATACTTAATGCTACAGTATATGAAGTTGTACTCAAGGACTTCAGGGGGGGAGTCAATATGGTAACTACTTTTGGGTCGGAAATATCTGGTGGTGAAACACTATTCTGCTTAAATGGTTATGTTTTGATCTGCCCTGTTTCGCTGTTATGCCCTCTTTTTTCTCAATCTCCACTCCATTATTTGCTTTTTTATTTTTATCCATTTAATTAAAGGGAAAAATATAGCAGGATATAATATAGTAACCCACTTTGACTTTCTATTATCTCGATTTGAAGCCCTGTATTACTCTCACCATCTTGTTTTTGACCGAGGTTCCTCTATTCTGTTTTGCTGGATAGTATCAGGTTCGAAAGTTTAGGCATCAGCTGAGAAGATAATGAGATTCATTATAACGCCCATTCTCGTTGACTTTTATCTACTTTTGAAGACCTACAGTATCTCCAATGTTTTGGTTTTGTCGGTTTTGTTCTTTACTGTTTTGTTCAATTGTATTACAACTAATGATATAGGCAATTCTATTAGAAATAGCGGGAGGCATTATGGTAACCATTGTTGATCACCTTGTATTATGTGTTAATATTATCTATTATATCTACCCTTTTGACTTGACCGATTCTGTTCTGTTATGTCACATTTGGTTTTACTCTCTTCCAAAAAAGCAATAAGAACCGTGGGAGCAATGAAACCCAAAATGTGTAATAGTCACTGTACAAAAGAGAGGAAAAGAAAGTGCTCTAAACTATATAACTGCATGTATATTTAAATGTATAAGATAGAAAATGATATCACAGAGTTTTATTGGATCATTGAACAGAACTGTTTGCAGTATCATTGTTGGAATGTCCACTCTACAAGCTTTAATTTTGTGACTTGAACAATTATTTCTAAGATGGCAATATGTAATCCATTAACTAGTGATTTCCTACTGCGCATTTTTTTCTTCTGTAAATCTGTATAACTTGTACCCCTTCACTGTTTTTTTTTTCTTTCTTTTCTCCTTAAATAAAAAAAAAAAAAATACCAAAAAAAAAAAAAAAAAAAAAAAAAAGGACATAATAGGGTCCACAGCACCAGTAATCAATATTTGTTGATGTTGCTAATAATCCAGAAAACCTTTGCCAAATATTATGGGAAAAGTTGATTATTGTGAACCTATAGGAACTTAACGTAGGAGACTTTATAAAAGGCCATGACAGAGTATCCCACAGAAGCTGTGCAGGCTAAGGACAGACTCTAATAACCACATATAACTGCTTTATCAAAAAGCATTTACTAAACAATAACCAAGTACTCTGGCTGTGTGTCTAGTTGTTCCCTAAAGCCGCACACAGTCATAGGTGGGGCTTTTTCCGAGGTGACTGGATCTAGAGTGTGGGACTGATCCATAATGCAACAGTAGGCTCAAAGGAGCAAGGATTACAGCGAGTACAACCCACCCACAATAGCCTTGATAAGACACAAGAAACAGAAAAAGCTGTGCTCGTCCCTTGCTTCCCTGGTTCTCCTGAGATGCCTCTCTGCTACTCACCGTGCCTGGCACCAGTCAAGTATGGACTGAATCCACTACAAATTGTGAGCCAATTAAATCTTTCTTCCTTTAATTTTGAATATTGGGTATTCTGTCTCAGCAATGAGAAAAGGAACTAATATAGAATTTGGTGCCAGATGCAACCACTCTGGAAATCATCAGAGTGGTGATTCCTCAAAAAACTATGACTGGAGGTCCCATTTGACCTAGCTATTCACCTTCTGGGTACCTTTCCAGAAGAATTAAAAACATTATGCCACAATGATATATGTACCCTCATGTTCATAGCATCACAATTTGTAATAGCTAGATTTTGGAAACAACCTATATGTCCATTGATTTAGGAATGCATAAATAAAAGATGTGGTACTCTATTATATAAAGGAGTACTACTCAGCCATAAAGGACAAACTTGAGACTTGTATAGGTAAATGAATATAACTTGACTCCATACTTGTAAAGTGTAATCAGACATGCATGTGTAAACATTGTTTTATTTCACTAATGTGAGAAGCTGAAAGAAAGAATATATGTATATGTATATACATATGTAATATAGTTAATATAGTTATACTACTGATTTCTCTGAGTTCACTGAATATAAAGGTTTGTACTGGTAGTGTTTGGACAACTGAATGCAGATGTCTTGTGCTCTGGGTGAATGATTTAGAGATGGCAATGTGCAAAGTGTGTACCATTGTCCTAACTGTGATCTGCAATTTTATTTTTCTCTCTGAAACACAATGGATTTAAAAAAAGAAAGAATTTAGTTCCAGAGAAGTGGGGTTATTGCTGTGACTCTGTATGTGAGATTGTGGTTTGGGACTAGAGAGTTTGTAAAGATTTGGAGATGTGGGTTGAAAGACGAGAACTGTTCTGTATAGAAACTGGTCAGAACTCAGGAGACTAGGAGGCTGATAAAATGCAGGTGGTAAAGACCAGGCTTGGGCAGTTTGTGCTGGAAAGGACTGACTTGGCTGCTGGACTCTAAACTCCTGAGAGACACTGCACACTTTTCCTTGCTGAAGACTCAGGATTCCAGCTGTGCCCGTCCCTTTGCTGATTCCCCACTCATTATGTTAAAGACCTTATCACATCTAAGCTCCGCCATTATGTGTGACCCAGCGTTCTGTGAATTCCCCAGCTGCTACCAAGACCAAATATGTCTGGCTCATTTCATATGGAAAACACACACACACAAAATTTCAATTATTTTAGCCTTTCCTGGGCTCCTAGTACATTCCAGGTATGAAGCTATGGGCTGAGAACAGCCCATAAGATACAGCACTTACAGTCAAGTACCCTTAATTAGTTGGAGAGAGTGAAAAGAAAATAATAACAAGACACTGTGACAAGGGCTATGTGCGGAATATTAACAATAGGATCAGGAGAGCTTTCTGGAGGAGGTAACACCAGGATGAAACTGCTGTTAGACACTTACACCAGAAACTGCTACTAGTCAGATTTTTAAAAAACAGCTTTTTAGGAATAAAGAACAGTATATACAAAGGCACAGAGACTAAACAGCACACGTTCTATCCTTGGGAATGCAGTAGCTTCACATGGGTGAGCACTGGAGATTTGCAGGAAGGAGAAATAAAGCCAGGGCAGAGAAAGATCATGTTAGCTGTATCTCAAAAACAGCCACAACATAAAGAAATCAACATAAAGAAAATGACACGATCGCAGGGTAAAACCTCCTTTCAGATGTCACATGAACAACTCACTGGATGGAGCTGATTTGAGAAGATGTTAAAGGGCCCCTCTCAGAGACTGAGGAAAGCCTTTCTTCACTAACATGGAGACTGTGACAGCAAAGATCAAAGGGCAGATTCTGAGTTCTCTTGGCACAAAATCGACAAATCTTGGAGCTGAATTACATTTCACATGAGTGTGAGTGAAGAAGGGATGATTTTCAAGTTTCCTGCTTAAGCAGCTAAGTCAGTGACAGCTCCTTAGATAATACAAGGGATACAGTACAATCTGAGGTGTGGGGAAAGGGAACATGTGAAATCTGCATTATCTAAATACTAACAGGTATATAACACGTCCTGGGTAAATGAGTGATGTACCAGTGGGGAGCTCGGAAAAGGCATCACTTCACTAGGTTGTATGTCCCTTAAAAGGTACTGCCTGCCACAGGACAGCCCACTCAAAGTGACCCTGGCTTCCAGCACCAACTCCCTATCTTCAGCTTAGAGTCTGAGATGTACAATAAGCCCTCTGTAGTCACCTTGTACCCTATGTATACTTTCTGGATGAAGTGCCTTCAGTGCATCAAAGGAAATGGGAAGCTGGCATCTATTTAATGATAGTACCCCGACTCACACGCCTACTTATAGGTCTTTACCTTGAGCCACCAAGAGGACGGTAAGCAGTCACAGACACACCTCTGGCTTGGCAAAAACTAATCAGTTGCTTCTGAGAAAGATATGGGTGGCACTCAATCTATAAATAGAATCATAAAGCACCATTAAATTCAGACAAATGGCATTGTGGGAAAGACCCAAAAGAGGAGATCTAGCAGTGTCTTGGCTGCCACAGACCAGCACCAGGGCTCACGGAGGCCCAGGTGTCTTCATTTACAAGTGAGGATGCTGGACTCTGCCATCTCCAAACACTGGGTACTGTAAAGGGCTATGAATGTACAGTCGTAGAGACTGTGGGCTCCAATGTCATCTGCCACGCAAGGCCTTCCTCGATCACTCAGGGAAAAGCCTTGACACTCCACAGCTCCCACCTCTCTCCTGCCTTCCGCTTTCCAAAAGACATCATTACCCATCGCCTCATGTGTTTCATTTACTTTGTTTCTTGTCATCAGGATTTAGGCTTCATGAACACAGGGATTTTTGCCTGAATCTGTTTTGTTCGAGGATATATGCCAACTGTGATGGATTAATTCACGGTTAACTTAAATGGGAACACCCAGATGAACTGAGTCAGCATCAGTTTCCCTGATACAAACCTGGCTCTTCTAATCCTTGGGGGAGCTCAGGTCCTCCGTCAGTGAGGCTGGGTGTGGTTCTCATTGGGGGCGCTCTGGTCTTCACCTTGAGCATTGCTTCCTGGCTGAGTGCAGATCCCTCAGCTTGCTGGCACAGCTCCTTCACCCCTCCAGAGTACTTTCTAGCTTCCACCACTGACCTCTGGGTCTTTCTTCTCTGTGTGGATCCTTATATAGATTCATAGAGGGCACTGCAGCAGACTCTAGGCTCTCACCTGGACTTGTACACAGACTTGTACATGGGATCTAGGGCATTAGCTGGACTCATGTGGTCTCTAAGGTGGACAGATCTCTTGCACTCCTCTGCATTTGACTTTTTGGGTGAACACTAAAAAAATCCTATGAATTATGTGCCCTGTATTAAATCTATTCTCTGGCAAACCCTGACTACCAACACAGGAATAGCCCCTATACAAAGGATATTTAGTAAATACCTGTTAAAAAGAGTCAGTGACACTGGGGAGTTACATGTAACAAATACCACAGGGGACATCCATGAACGTTTTAAGAAAACTGGAAGCAGGACTGCAGTCTCTTCTGTACTCTCTAAATTTTCATATACAATTTCAGTTTACAGATACTTGATTTTAAATAAATGCTCCTTTAGAGACAATTAAAGACAACTAGATTGCTCTCTCAGGATTACGGCATGTCAGGTGGTTTAAGCTCCCAGGAAAGCCAACAAAAGGAAAGCCATCCCATCTGCAGCCTTCATGTTCTATACTCCTCAGGAAACAGACCCTCTAACCTGTCTCCTTCCCCTAGGTTATACACACTGTCAGATATTCAAAGTGCTGTTCAAGAAAAAAATCCTAACACAAAACAGGCAAGGCTGTGCAAATAAACAGATTCTATACATACAGGTGGCTAAAACAGCTAAACCAAAGTAGGATAAGTCAGGTTAGTGGTTACTCTTTGTGTTGCTGACCAAGACAGGACCTTGAGAGCCTCTCGTAAGGCTGAGGATGTTGGTTATTGCTTTGATTGCTGAATATTAGGGTACATTCACTTTTATGAAAACTTGTCAAGCTACATTCTTTTTGACTTATACACTCTTTTGTGTCTATTGAAAAGTTACATCACAATTTTAAAAAGTTTATTTATTAAAAAAATACAGTTAGGTTCTTCTCTAAGTAACACTAAACTGGAAAGTACCCAAAGGCCCCCCCTTAACTATTATGCCCACTAACAGAAAATGGACCAAGTAAACTGTGATACATTAACATAGTTGAACACCATTCAGAAGAAAGAAGGAACGATCTGCACTCCCATGCATTATGGATCAACATAGCACACTACTGTGTGAAACAGCTTAGACATAAAAGCTGGTGATGCCTTCTTACCTTATTAATAAACATAATACAGCAGCCTGTGCTACTGGACATCAGAGCCACGGCTACCCTTGCAGAGGCAATGGGTACTGGACACGGGCAGGGGAGGGTGCCACTAGGGCACCAGTCATGCTGTTTTTGTGATCTGTATACTGGAGATGGAGCTATGCTCAGTTTACAGGAATTCATTGAGCTCCATTCTCACATGTACACATTTCCCATACAACTGTTGTTCTTTAAGAAAAAGTTTCAGTAAATTATTACAAAAAAATGGCTTTTTCACATGTAAAATTAACTGACTAGCAAATATGAGTCTTTTCCTCACTAGTCTTTTCTCTGCATTAAAAAAAAGAAAAAAAAAAAAAAAAAGAAGTGTGAACCTCTATTTAGGTAGCCTGTGAGCCTGGGGTGGGGCATTCAAGTCATTTATCCCCTTTCTGTTGCCAGTCTGCACGGGCAGGAAGAGGCAGGCAGGAGGGTTGGCTCAGCGGCAGGCCCCCGCCCTTCTGAACATAGCTGGTGACCTGCTCACCATTCCACGTGGGGAACCAAGCTCTAGGTCAAACCCCGCTTGGTCGATGGCATGAACTGTACAGACTGTAAGGAAGGCTGCTTGCCTGCTCGTCCCAGTGCTTATGTACTTGCTCTACCCAGTTACAATTCTGATGGCCACTAGAGAAAAACACAACATGTATTTTCCCATTTCCAACACAGCCATGTGGATGTAACAGCTAGGAGACAAGCATGCCAATTCAACCCTGGCACTCCCACTAGCTCACCTGGTTAGTGACAGGCCTGATCCTTAAATTCTGTTTATTCAGAAGCCTCTCAAGCTGCTCATGGTTGAAGTTGGACACTCCAATGGCCTTCACCAGCCCTTCATTCACCAGGTCCTCCATGGCCTGCAGGAAAGCAGAAACTGCTGGGGATAGATGTCTGTGTATTCTGTGGACAAGCCATGTCTCTCAGCAATGCTGATGGTGGCATAAACTGGATCCACCCAGTACTTTTAAAATGTTTCACTTGGAGCTTCAGAACCCTTTTTGCACTAATCTCTCATCCTTAAGAGCTGGAGGACTCTGAGTGAGTTACAGGTTCTCACTAGGCCCCAGTTTTCTCATTTGCAAAAGGACAATACTGTTGACATCGCAGTGTTGTTGTTTTGTAATTACATGATGGGATGAAAAAAAATTAGTTAAGGCTGAACTCTAGCAAACACTTAGCACATTTTAATTCATTGTTCCTATTATTCTGGACCGTTTTTTTCTTTCTTTCTTTTTTTTTTTTTTGTCTTTTTCCTTTTTATTGGTACCGGGGATCGAACTCATGACTGCCTGCTTTCAAGGCAGGCGCTTATGCTGCTGAGCTAAACCCCCAGCCCCACTGGACCGCTGTTGATAGGATGTCTAACAATTATGTCTACTTATTTTATTTGCTCAACTTTCTGTCAACCTACAGATCATTATTGTAAGCAAAATGACATACCGTCATTATCCAATCTCACCTTAATCATTTAAAATTTTATGGAATTTGAGAACAGAACCTTAACCTCTAACCAGCAGGCCAGCTGGGCCAGAATTCAGGGGTAAGTCCTAAGTACTTCTGAGGCCACTGACCAGTGAATGAATGTGCAGATACGGCAGCCTTGATTCTGTAACAATCACTGGAATTATACCCAGAACACATCAACATCTAGAATTATACCCAAAACACATGAACATCTTATAACCCAAGTCTTTCAGGGAAGGCAGTCCCTGAGAGCTCAGCCACATGGCCAGTTTTCATGGAGGAAAGCATGGCATGTGCTTACAGGTCTCTGTCTGTGGTCTCCCTCATGTCTCTGTCCTGGATGACCACAGGCACTCAGATAGCTTCATCCAGCATTCTCACTCTGGCGGGTTCAGATTTCATCTCCAAATTTTAAGTCTGATACAATTTTAAGTCTGAACTTGCTTTCTTCCCAGGCCTCGAACATACAGTGTTGCCTGCCATGCCAGTTAGGAGACCTACACACACTGACTCAGCTGTGCTGGAATGCACATTCTCAGAGAATCTTACTGCCGCAGTCCTCCACCAGCCTACAGTCAACTTTTACAAGACCAAAATCCATTACTTTTTGATTTTCCAGATCAAAACTTCATTCCAAGTCCTTAGCATTTTTCATCTCAACTTTTGAAACAAGTTCGAGGCTTGTGAACTGGTCCTCTGGGCTTTGCCCAACATCTCTGTGTGAACTCTATCATGTTGCCAATATCATGGTTTTGAAATGCTTAAGAGAGAACTAAAAGAAAGTGTAAATTATTAATAGCATTACCACTGGGTGATGACAACATCAAGTTTTAAATTCTCTTGTTTATATTCAATTGCATTTTTTGAAATATATACAATATTTAATTTAAAAATCTGAGGAAAAAGGGAAACATATATTGTTCCTAAAATGTTTGAGAGATATACCATTCTAAACTAAAGGTAACAAGAAAGTCATTTGAAGTCTGTGAATTTTCCAAGCACTCACTCTTAGTTCACCTAGCAAACCCTGAGTCTCCATCTCTATCATTGGACATGAGAAGCTCAAGGTCTCACACAGCTTCCACTCTGAAGACCTGTTCACAAGGGTAAAGATGCCAGATGGTGTGACTCAGCTTACCTCCCACGTGTCCAGGAAGTCTGTGTTACATGGTATAACCATGCCACTGTGATCCAAAGGCACACTGTCTTTTCCAGGCTGTGAGAACCAAAAGAAAAATAGCTTACTGGAGCTTGTGGTCATCCCTGCTGAGAAGATTCTAGGTAGACCAGGAACCCTGATCCTGGAAGATCTGCATCTAAGCCTTGCCCCAGTCACTAAGTAACACTAGTCTGGACACACGACTTCCTTTCTTTGGACCTCAGTCTCCACTTTTGTAAGCCCAGAATCAGGTGAGCTGAATTTACCTTGAAGTTTGTTGACCACTTCTTGAAGATTAGAAAGGATATGCCTTTTCTTTTTTTGTTCTGGGAACTGAACTTAGGACCTTGCGCTTGTTAGGCATGCACTTATGTTGTAGAAAGGTTATTTCTGAAGCACTGCTAATTGTTCAAAAATTTTAATAATTTCAGGTACAGAATGAGGGTAAGGGGACTTCCTATAAGCACAATCAACCTTCTCTCAACTCCATCATTAGGACCTTTTCTTCTTCTCTTCAAACTCCCAAAATGAGGAGAGATAATGAAGTGAGATGCAAGAGTCCACAGGAGATGGAGGGCAAAGATAGCTACCATGAGGGGATAAAAAAGTCTAAAGTTACCACTGAGAGGAGTTACATGCATTAACTGGAAATCCACCTGTCTCACTCAGGCACAAACCTACTACCTACATGTCACAAAGTAAATAGCAGATCACAAATTCATTTGCCAACACCTAATCATTCAAATTATTGAATGCTCCAGCTGGATCTCTCTCTATATATTTTTAAAGACATGAGAAGGATTTATTAGAGGAAGATATAGAACATACTCAAGAACAGAGTGTGGGAGTTCAGAGAAATGAGGCACTTGGTCCTGATGAACTGAAGTGGCTAATGAGTTCACTCTAAAGTCATCTCCCAAACTGACATTTAAGCCATCACACAAACCTAACTGACTAATAGGAGTACCTTGAAGCCCATGGGCCAGTGCATGAGGTAGAGGTCCAAGTAATCCAACTTTAAGGCCTTCAGACTCTGGCTGCATGCTGTCCTCACCAAGGGCTTCTTGTGGAAAGTGCACCACAGCTGCAGAGAAGGGAGATGCTGTCACAGAGTCACAGCCACAGGCCAGGGCTAATATAACCTGCAAGCTACCACCTAGGGGATCAAAAATCTAGGATCAGATGACAATAAATACAAGACAAGTCTTGAGGGGAGGTAGTGACATCATCCTCACAAAAGTTCCACAGGGACCACCACAGTAGGACTCCGTCTGCCTGCGTCCTACTGCAGGGAAGTTCAAGATGCCAGAATACATTCTGTGGTATAGCTGATTGTTATTTGGGACCAAAAACCAAACCAAACCAAAACAAAACAAAGAAAAACAATGTCTGCAAGCAAAAGAATATGAGCAAAAATTGTAAGAATGTCTGTATTATATTTCCAACTTATATATGTTATGTTCAAGGTTCTGTTGCTAAAGCATTACAACTATTCAGGCTAACATAGGTAGTTAACATAAACGGTTTTATATTTATTTAGACATTCCTTCCATAGTCTTGGATAAGTATTTTTCTCCTGATAACTTCCCTGCTATATATCTATTAATGGATGCAGAAGTTAACCTGAGAGTTGTATTACACCAAGTGAAAAAAAAATTAGTAAGACAAATGAAACTAAAACGAAAATAAATGATAAGTATAATGAATTAACAAAAATAAGAACAGACAAAAACTAGACAACAGTAATTCTAGGTGGCTAGACAAGTCATTCACTTATTTTTAAACTACATTTTTATAACTTTTTGCAAGCTAATGAGCACACATTGCCTGCAGGCTACAATCCATTCAAAAGTAACCTGTTTTCAGCTCACAGAGTAAGACAGGAATGCCAGGGCCTGGGGATTTAGCTCAGCAGCATAAGCACCTGCCTTGTAAGCAGGCAGTCGTGAGTTCGATCCCTGGTACCGGTAAAAAAGAAAAAAAAAAAAAAAATGACAGGAATGCCCAGTTACCCAGCTCCCTGCTGTGAGTATTCAGAAGGAACTGTCTTTCCTTGGCCAACCACACACATTGCTGTTCTAGCTACATAGCAATGATGAATAGTAAAAATTTATTACCTTAAAGTGAAACAGGCAAATCCACTATCGAAAGAACACTGACTCTTGAAATTGTGAAATGTTACAACTGGAAACTATTCAGGAGATCCTCAAATTCTCATTTTATAAATGCTCAAACTGTGATCCGAGCTATCCAACAATTATGGAATGACAGTTAGAACTTGAACCTTCTGTCTCTTGCCGAGCATTTTGCTGTAAGGTCAAAAGTACAGGAATCCCTTTCTTTCTACTATCTTAGTCTATCTCTGGTATTTTCCAGAGTTCACCTCCTAACAATTTATTCACACCCCCTGCCTCCTCCCTGTTCTCTTCACTGTGATAGGTTAGGCCTGCTTCTCCTCCACCTCTGATGCTAATGTCTCCTGCCAATGCTTCAAACGCAAGCTCCTTTCACCTACTGTAACTCCAGATACAAGGCAGTCTTACTGACACAGAATAGAAACTGCCCTACCTAAAAATCTACAGATTCTCCTTTGTCTCCACGTAAAAATAAAAGACCATTAAGTGGCACAACAGGACTTGAATGAGCTGGCCCCTCGCTCCCCTCCACCTCACTTGTCATTTGCAGGCCTCCCATGTGTTATGTTCCAAGAACAATGAATTCCTGACAGACGCCTGCACTTGCAGCGCTAGCTCAGGCCTTATGCCTGTGTCTAATGTACTAGCTCGACACCTTCACCTGTCCACTTACTACTGCCCTTTTTAGTCAGTAGACCTGGGCATATTATAGACAATTCATTTTCATGTGATTCTAAGGCTGGGAATTTCTTTGCTCATGGGGGTGGAGACATTGTTTTATTAACCACTGTAGCTGAAGTACCCACCTACCATGCAATCAATTTTTGTTTTAAGAATATATTGTAAATTTTTTATGTAAGTACAAATATGCCGAAATGAACCCATTATTCTGCATAATTAGTATGAAATGATTTTTTTTTTTTTTGGTCTTTTTCGTTTTTATCGGTACCAGGGATCGAACTCACGACCGCACACTTGCAAGGAAGGCGCTTATGCCGCTGAGCTAAATCCCCAGCCAGTATGAAATAATTTTTAAAAAGAATGTATTATATAGGAGAGCTCTACATATGCTTATCTGAACAATCAAATGTGATGTAAAATAAATAAAGCTGCACAGTATAACTTAGCAAGAAGCTATGAAAATTTTTGTTTAAGTACAAAACAAAGTCAATGATTCTCGTAAGGAAATTGGAAAATCATCTATGGTAGTTCAGGGCAGTTCTCCAGTTGCCCAAGACCAAAGCAGTGGAGAGCCTTCACTCCTCACCAGAGAAGTCCTACCTTACTGACAATGAACAGCTCCTCTCGTTTTATAACACCCTCGCTGATCTTGCACTGGATTCCTTCTCCTACCTCACTCTCATTCTGGTATAAATACGCACAGTCAAAGTGTCGGTACCCCGCATCGATGGCAAGCTTCACTGCATTAGTTACTTCTCCTGGAGAGGCCTGCAAAACCAACAAGACAGACATATTCCTTCCAGAGTAAAGGAACTCAACCCTTTGCATGCAAGAATGTGGAATTCAGGAATACATAAAAATTGATGTCAATGAATTGGTATCAAGCAGTCCTAAAGTTAGAAAATGTCACAAAGGAATTGATTGATAACCTAAATTTCAGCTCCTTTACTTAGCTGGGGAAAATCTACAGGTGTTTTTAGTGCCTGCAGAGAACTGAGCTAGATACTTTAAGCTTCCTGAATGATTAAAGGATTAAATCAACATAAAATAGGCCATTCACGGACTGTGGGGTAAAAGAGTAAGAAGTCATCAAGAAGCAAGCCCTCCTGTGAATCAAGGCCAAGCATGCACCACTGGGGGAAGAGTGCTGCCACAGCCAGACGTCAGTCTTTTCCTGTGAGTCAGCACCATTCGCTGACTGTAGGGGAAGAGAACAAGAGACCAAGAAGCAAGCCCTCCCTGAGAATCTGTGCCACGCGTAAGGCCCTGTGGGGACAGATAGATGCCAGCTCCTTCTGGCGTGTGGTCTGGGAAACAAGAAAAGCCAACACAGCCTCTCCCCACCAGGCAACCAGCTGATCCTGAGAAAAACAGGCTGCATTGATAGCTACTGAGGTAAAATGTAATTTAATGCTTATAGGGTTTAGTGTTTCACTGACTTTGCAGGTCTAAAGCCAGTAGTGTTCATCCATTCAGAGGAATGAAAAACAGAAATGAAGATAAATGATAATAAAGAAACTATCACCAATAGCCACGCCCAACAATTTGGAAAAATGACATTGGAAACAGAAAAAATTCTGAGAATAACCTGACTCAAAAAGAAGTTTAATTGTGTTGAAATTAAAGAAATGAAGCAGTTCGGAGGGAGGTACCATAAGAGTTCTACAAAATGATAAAAAGGAATTAATCCCAATTTAACACAAACTTTCAGACAATGAGGGGAAAAATTATGCTCCCAGTCACTCTCCAAAACCAGGACAACCCTGAAATCAGCTCAATCTACCCTGGCTCATGGAATGGCTGGGAAATGCACGCTCCCGGCTACGAACTCCGCAGCAAGAACAATGTACACTCTCGGCCTCTCCAAGCAGATGGGATAATTTTTAAAATATTCCGACAGGCAGAGGTCAAATATTCAAATTCTGGCTCAGCCAGCACTTCTGACGTGCCCTCACGCCAGAAGTCTCAGAGCGTCGGCGGGAACCACAAAGCCTTTTCTCTCCCAGGGAGCGGCTGCAGACCCTCGTCCAGCCGCTCCGCGCGGGCTCGGCCGTACTCCCAGCCCGGCTCCCCGCACCCCCGCACCGGCCGAGCCCAGCCTCCCTCCGCCGCCCGGCCTCCACACCCGCGCAGGCCCGTCCTGCACCGCACAGCCGCGACCGGAAGCTGCTGGCGCGGAAACGGCGGCCGCCCACTCGCCCGGGCCGCCAAGCCGCCCACCTTCCAGGTGCCCAGGCCAACCGGCGGGATCAGCGCCATGGCTGCACGCCAGTCACTGCGGCGGCGGCGACCGCGACCAGAGGGCGCCTGCTGTGCGCTCCCTGATTGGCTGGCGTTTGGCGTCCCAATTGGTTTGGGCCCGTAGCACGGGGTTGAGGTTTCTCCAATTGGCTGGCTGGCGGGCTGCTTAGGTTCCGGTGGCTCTGACTGTGGGCTGCTCGGGGCGCATCTTCTCTCTCACGGCGTGAACCGAGTGGCAGATGAGAGAGCCACTGTTAGCCTGCCAGGCGGGGGCTGAATCTAGAACCCAACACTTCAGATTCACTCCCTGGTGCTATCAAGAGTACAGGAAAGGCGTCGACAATGGGCAAATTAGTTTACTCACATTTTGGCCAAATTGTGAGGGCAGCTTCCCCTGAACACACAGTGGGACTTCAACTTAAAAGAGAGGATACCCGGACGTATGCATGAACATTCAGCCAGGCTGTGGGCCACCTGCAGGCCGCGGGGGTGTGGGGATGTGGGAGTGGGGCGTCTGGAACTATTGAAACTTTCCTGGCACCAGGACCAGGTGTGGCAGTTTCACTGTCAGCATGAGAAAGCTGGGAAAAAATAGCTTAGCTGTATAATCCCAATTATAAAACTCCCTTTCAACTACTCAGTTCCACCGCTGGCAAAGTGTGGCACCTGATATCCACCACTTGGACACCTGGGTCTTAGGGTCAGTCTCTATCTGCCCCTTGTGAAAAAGGCCCAGGGTACAGAAGAAGTGGCTTTAGCTTTCTCCTACAATCGAGGTGCTTGGAGTACATAACCATGAGGATTCCACAGACTTGAAGACCTCGCTACTGGTCTTCATTTTCCATGGATGACATGGAATGACATGGATGTTCTGAGGTCTTGGAAAACATCATCTGTTCCCTGGAGGTACTGCTGAGCTGAGAGGTGTCTAGGATTGGGGAGGCAGAGAACCTAAAGTGCTGCAAAACATGAGAGAACCCAGGATCTCTGATCCGGGCCGGAATGAGACTGTTCTCACTGTAACCTTGGGAAGTGAGACTGGATCAGCATGCTGGCTTGAATGAGGAAATTGGTAGGTTAAAGCGACAACCTAGAGCCATTAGAGGGAAAGAGGTATGAGAGAATTTCCTAAGCCCCTGAGTCACTTTCTTATCACTGAGACACAGTGCCCACACCCGCAGTTTAAAGGAGAAGAGGATTATTTTGACTAGTGGTTACAGGACATAGGCAGGCAGCTCTAGGGAAAAACTAGTGTGGCAGAGGGGCATAGTGAAGAAAAGCTGTTGACATCACGGAAATCAATAAGCAGAGAGAAAAGAGAAGAGCCTAGAAAGAGATGCATGCTTCCCATCTTCTAACAGCAAATCAGCTATATCATCCCCGTGATTCATTCGCTACCAGCCCTGCCTATGAATTCATGAGACCCTGGACATCTTGATCTAAAACATGACATCAAGGCCTTTCTCAGTCTTTGGAGTTTACAGTAGCTCTGAAAGCCCTGCTGTCTGAGGACACCCAAACACAGCTGTTCTCTTTCAGGTTCTTGTGCTTGAGGTTGTAGTGCTAGCACTGACTACCAGGATGCAGCGGTACCTGCTTTACTCCATGGAGAAACTGGTGTAGGTAGAGCTCACTCAGAATTACCCCTTTTAATGAATGGCTATTAATTCTTAGGCATTATCCTTCTTCTTTTGTCATTATCTTCAGTGAAGTCTGAGATTTGCTTATTGTCATATATAATCCTGGTGACTTCATTTTTGTTTGATATACTTCGGAAACAACTTCGGAATATACTGTGGTTTATTCTATACCTTTATCATTGATCCATGCATTTGATGGAATAACCCAGATCTGCTGCAGCTCAGGTACTTGACCCTGCCTGTCTGGCTCTGCTTTACACACGACCTGTGCACCATCACCTCAACAATCCCAGGACTTGGGAGATGGATGCTTTTCAAACCAAAGAGGATACACCTGATTTTTAAAAATATGAAGGGGAGAAAAATTATAGAAATAATAGGTGAGACTTTACTGCATCGTTACTGGATAGAGATGCACACTAAGAAAAAGCACAGTCACGTGGGACTGAGAAGGTAAAAACCAGACAAAGGAAATGTAGCAACTTGTAAATATATGAAGAATCAGAAGGAAATTCTCTACTCCTTAAACATTTCCACATATAGAAATATTTGTTCCTCGACTCTCACCTAATCAAGCTCCATGTGAAGACAGTAACCAATAAGTAAAGTTTGGATCATGGCTAAAAAGAGCCATGAATAATAGGCACAAATGAAGGCGGTCTGGATTATGGTATTATATTGACCCTTCTTTGAAACTGCCTAAGTCCTGCTATTCTTTCACTATACTTAAGCTGTTATTAGACTGGCACTTGAAATGTCTCTTTTAACATTGTCCAGTGGTGAAAATAATTTCCAAGCAACCTTGAATATAAGAACAATGGCCCGCCTTCTCTATATGGCTTTAAAACTTGGAGACCTGTGTCTACAAAGAGTAGATTTTCCAAATAGCTACAAAGGTTATAATCATACTACTAATGTTCCAGTTTCATTTGCAGACACTCTTCCACTGCAGTGGGGTTGTGTCCTTATGCAGTAAATAAGACAGACAGCATCTGTCACTTGCTCCATGATGGAATGGCTTGCTGGGGTTGACACTCTCGGCAGGCACGCAGAAGTGTGAGAAAGAATAATATGGTGTACTGGGGGCTTGGGAAAAGATTAACGTTCAAAACTCAAATATGGTTTCTATTGAATATATGTACCTTTCTTACCAGAGTAAAGTAAAAAATCATCATTCAAACCATCACTGCACTGGAGGGAGTCAGTGGCTTTGTTTTCCCATTTCACCCAGTTAGTGGAACATCATGGACTGTAACAACTTTGAAAGGGGCAGAGGACACTGATTTATTTCTTGTGATAGCTTGGACCCCGGAATAAAACATCAAGCCCTTAAAAGGAAGCAAGAAATTAAAATTTGGGGAGCAAAGGCTTTATTTTAGGCCAGGCCTGGCGACACAATCCCTGGGAGCCAATTTGGAGACTGCATGCCCCAGAGCCTGTAGAAAGGGATTTTTAAAAGCAGGGGAGGGGGGCAAAAAAACCCCACAGAGCTGTTAATCTGTTGACTCAAGTCTGGAAACTGTAAAGCTGTCCACTTAGTTCTGATAACATCAGGAGCCTGGCGCCTTTCAAGTTACTCCCATTCTGCAGATAAGCATTATCTCGGAATAGCACATCTGCAATAATATTTGGAGAGGAAGGTAGAAAGTTAATTATTTTGGGACAGCTTGTTAGCAATAACATGTGGAAGGGGGGAGGGCGGTAAATTATCTTGGGACAGCTCATTAGCGCTAACATGTGAGAGGGGGTTGAAAGTTACAAGAAGCTGAAACTTAAGTTTTTACAAGGATTTAAAACTTAACCCTTTTGGCATATACAGAACAAGAGGGGGCGCATTACAGAACAGAAATACTGTGAGATTACATTTTTTTTGTGTGTGGGGGGGAAGAGCAAGATCAGGTAAGGGTTGTGCTAACAAGCAAGTTTCCCTGCAAACAAGCAAGTTTAGATTGGGCAAATATCTTTTTTTTTCAGCAGAGAATAGAGAAGTCTAACAGTAATTAACAACCTTTTGTTACCTTATTTTAGCACCACATCTATTATTTGTAGAGGGCAACAATGGTTAACATATCAATTAGGTAAGATTTTGCAATTCTTTACAGAGGAGAGCATTGATTAACATATCAATTAGGTCACCCAGAGGGAGAAGGAAAACATATATACGGTATGGCCATGTTACAGGTAATTTGCTATAATACAAATATAACGAAGCTATTTTTCTTAGAGTACAACATTCCTCAAGGAAATTTTATATCAATAATTAAAATATGACCAGACTCCACATTATATTAACCATTCCAACAGAGTTTTACTTAAGTGGAAGTCTCAAGAAGGCTTAACTCCTCTTTTTCCAAGATCACTACAGCAGGTTCTATCATCTAATAATTTTATCTTGCAAAAAGATAACTGTAGTTGACCAATTCCTTTAGAAGGAATATAGATTGTAAGAAAAAATGAAGTGATAACTCCTTTGATAATATTTAAATGAATTTAACTGACTCCTTTAGAAGGAACATGGGTTGCAAGAAAAAAATGAAGTAGTAACTCCTTTGATAACAATATTAGCAAAATTTATTGAGAATTTATCATTGTTTAGACTTTTACATGCTTTATCTCATTTACCAGTGATTTTGATGAATGTAACAATTTTAAGTTGCTATTAATTTGAGTAAATTAAATGAGAAATTTGTTTTTATTAACCATATCTAAATTATATGTAAGATGTATTTACTTTAGTTTTGTAATTTTCAAAAATACACCCAGGTCTTTATGGCAAGTATTCTCCAGATACAGAAAACTTCACATTTCCTGTTTTTCTTTTTTCTTCTTTGGTACCAGAAATTGAACTTAGGACCTTGTGCTTGCAGGGCAGGCACAGTACCACTGAACTATATCCCTGGCCCTTCACATCTTCTTATTTCTCTTAAGCATGTTTATCTACAATTTTTAAAATTTTAAAACATAGTTCATACTTTAAAATCATAAGTTTACTCCTCCGTTCTAAAAAAACTTTCTTTGCTCAAAAATAATACCCATTTATGTGATGGTATTTGGTATTAGATATTATCAATGCTACATATTTGCTTTCATAACTCATGGCTAAATTCACAATTTAATTTCAGATATCTACAGTAACATTGCCCTTTATTTAAATAATCTGCATTGTTGCACCCCAAAAATGAGACCCTGAGATGTTGTCCAAAAACAGGGCAAGATGTCTTTTAAAAGAAAAAGAAGCACTTTATTTAAGCTGGCACCAGTGGCACAGTGCAGTTGGAGTTTGCAAAGCTGTGTAGCCAGGTTAAATTTTGTCAGGCTTATAAAGGAAAAAAACCACAAACTAATGAGTGGGGGAGAATAAGATTGAGGAAGATCTTTGTTCCCTTTTTGCATGAGGACAGAGGTTTTTATGGGAAATTTTGCAGTTGGGGGTCAACAAGTTCCTCCTTTACCAGAATTTGT